CCTATAGCATATCTATACCTTTATAACCATTGGTCATGGACGGAATGTGGGAAGGAGTATAAAATTTACTTGGAATTTCAGATTTACTGGTTTATCTGTAATATTTGAACAGTTTTTTACCATTATGAATGCCTTAAAAAGTCGGTCTGTGACCATGGAATTGCCCAGTACAGTATGTAAAAATTCTGAGAAAACCACGTCTTGACATTTCAGAGTGGCTCTGACTGATAATCGTCTGACATTTCCTGATGACGGTCAAGAGTACAGTATCTCACCAAAACATTAAGAGAACAAAACACTGATTTTCTCAGAACTAAGCATGTCACACGGTACTGGTAACATACAGTACAATACACAGGTACAGTACAACAAAAAGCAATTATTATACTACTGTATACAAAAGATAAGGTTCTATTGCATTACACACTATGGCAGTTTTTGCATTAATATGTACAGTATTACAAAGATAATTTGCACATTACTGGTGTCCTCTTTTATCTTTTACACACAAAAGAAATTCTTTCTTTGGATATCATTATGAATCATCGCTGAATAGTTACACTGGAACATTCCAAATATTTCAATGAGATTTGGATCATCTGGTCTGGTAATAGTTCACATAATCAAGTTGCTTCTTATTCTGTAATAAATTTCCAACTGTTCGATATAAATTCTAAACTGTTGCTACTGTACAGTACAGTACAGTAGGTAGTACAGTATGATACCATTATGTTGCATGTAAAAATTAAATATATTAGATTATTTTTACAAGTTTTAAAAGTCTTCCATTTTAGAGCAAATAGTTTGTGTTTTATTCTGTTTAATTTAAGTTAAAAATTATACTATAACGGTGGTCGGCAGCCTGTCACTTTTATTCAGCCAACCGCTGACCAGCATAGTGAGACCCTCAGAGTTTAAAACTTCTGCACACAAGCTGCAAAACACACTGGACTCCACAAACAATATTGCCCGCTGAGGAGTTTGAAAACTATGTGACAGTAAAATGATGGTCACAATTGACTTTTAATAGTTATTATATATATATAACAATTAGTTATAGTACACTGTCAGTACTTATAAAATTCATGCAATAGGCCTACTGTACGTTATAATGTTGATGTGAAATTATAATTTAGCTGAAAAAGCTCTACTCTACAAACAATTACACAAACAATTATTATTTCTAAATTCATCCTGGAACAGGACAGGTTAAACAAAATGTTGTTAACAAGGAGTTCCCACAACTCGATATCATATACCACATTGTGGGAGGTACTGTACAGTAAAACCAAGTCTAAACACAGAGGGTGTAGAAACTCGACAATCCAAGTTTCAAGTGTCAAATACAATTTTGGTCAGTTTCTCCGCTGCATTTTATCTCAGTTGGGTACTACTAAGGAATTTACTGACAGCGAAAAAAAAGTTAATTCGTCTGAATCAAACAGTGTTAAACACCCTACAGCAGTTTGACTAAGGCTATACACACACACACAATCTGGTATTGCTAAACACCACACACTACCTAAAAAACAAGAGTCCAACCAAACCACTTGATTGTGATTGTATCATGTACTATATGGACTCACTTGGTATCTCAATAAAAAATATTTTTGGGGTAAACTCTTGATTTTTTTTGTAAAAAATACCTGGAAATACACCACAAACCTCCAAAAACACAATGCAAACCCCATCAAAAATTTGTGATATTGATTGAATCATGTAAGACTCACTTGGTATCTCAATAAAAAAAAAATTGTAATTTTAGGTTCGTAACAACCTATCTGTAATTTTTGGGTAAAAAGGCAAACTTTTGTTTACAAAAATTGCTAAACCCACAAACCTCCAAAAACACACCACAAACCCCATCCAAACCTTAGTGATAGTGACTGAATCATGTACTGTAGTATAGGATTCACCTGGTATCTCAGTGAAAAAATATATAATTTTATGTTCATGAAAACCTAATTTTGGGTAAAAAGGCCAATTTCTGTTTACAAAAATTGCTAAACCCCGCAGATCTCCAAAAACACACCGCAAACCCCATCCAAACCCCTTGATAGTGATAGGATCACGTAGTAATTAGACTTACTTGATATCTCAATAATTAAAAAATTATAATTTTATATTCATAACAACCTATTTTTGAAGTAAAATCTTAATTTTTGTGAAAAATACCTAGCAATAGACCACTTTCTTTTTATCGAGTTTATTTGAAACAGTGCTGGCCACATCTCACAACTCAATGGGGCAACTTCCAGTGGCCTAGCCTAGAGCCTGAGCAGCTAGCTAGGGTCAAATAGAGCGCCAAAGCACACACTGCTATTACTAATGTACGTAGCACGAAGTGTGTAGCCCCTGGAAGTCCCATAGTGGTACAGTAAATGCCAGGTTATCGGAAATTTTAATTTCAAATTTCGTGAAAATGGTCTATAGCTCACACTTGCGTTTATACAACAAAATCTCCGATCCAAATATCATGAAGATAACGGTGGGATCACTGGCCAATAGGAAACTTGAATTTAGAAATGTGTATGTGATTCGTTAATGCACTAAATTTACTAACCGAGGATAGCACTCAACAACCGGGCGTTCTCACACTGGTGGTATCGGTTAGTGTTAACAACAGTAGCTCCCGAATCAGATACAAGGGCTCTAGAGTGAACCTAACCCAAGTATCTACATTTTCAAACCCTCAAATCTAATATTAAACAAATGTTTGTACTTGTCCCAGTGTTGAAGGTAGGCCTAGAGCTACATACACAAGGCTAAGTAATGGGGAGATGTTATTCTAAAGTACTATACAATCTCAGTCTGTTCATCTTCCGGAATAACTTTATACTAAGGAGGTATGATTAAGATTAAACAATCAATTAACAATGAGAAACCAATGACAGTATTGTCGATAGGCCTATTGTTTATTGTAGTATAGTAAATGTTAACATTCTGTTCAAGAAATTTAACCTTCAAGCAAAGACTCAGTTGGCTACTAATCCTGATAACAAATTATCTTCCTGGAAATGGGAAATTCATGTACAAATCAAGGCTAAAGAAAGTATGTGGTTTGCTCTGGATGACCTGAATACTTCCATAGTGATTTATTATTATATTTTGATATCAACACATTTGCTGATATAATTATGAAATTTAAAAACATCTTTTTCCAATTGCAAGGTAAATTGCACTCCTTAGTACTAGTTTTGTAGGCCTATTAATAGTACCACCTAGAATTACAGTAGAACTTGTCAACCAGCCAAAAAATTATTTAAAAATTACATTTCCAAATAGCATAAAACTACTGTACAGCCAATCCAATCCATGTGAATATCGCGCATACAGTATAACGGTAGTTTTGGCATACTGTTTCTCATTGTGGATTACCGGTATTAACTATTTTTATAGTTTTTATTTTTGAGTCCTGATAAGGCCCTATAAAATATTATTAATTTATCACACTATCTACAGTAGGCTAGAAAAGTGACGAGGGTGAGAGGCTTTTTTAAAAATTTTATTTTGCTAAATATCACCCTTGGGTTGTTGGCTAGTGCATCGATATTCAATGTAAAACATGATTAATAAAATTTACCAACAACACTTAACTACTATATCTAATTTTTTTAATGAAAAGAATAATTTTTTTTTCAAATTTTATTTTTTCAGTACCATAGAAGACATGTCTGCGAAGGTAATAAACCAATAATTTTTTTTTATTGGGCCTAAACGGGACATGATTCACAAGCCATCATACTCAAACTGTGAGGAAATAGTGGGCCTAGAGGTCAGAGACCAATGGCAAGGGTATTGTGAAATATTCTTAATACAGTATTTCCACACCTTTTTGTTTACCATGTATTCTTAAACACCCATAACTTATGAACGAAACTCATACTGTACCTCTGCCTATATTGCTTGCTCATACTGTAAAGTTTTTTAATTGCACAGATGATACCTCAATAACCAGTTAAAATTTGTGCGGAAAATCGCTAGGAAAATAAGTGCACAGAATCGTAATTATTGCATAATGCATTGTTTATTAAGATTAGGTCAAAGGCAAATTTTTGGCAAAATCCGTGTGGAAATCAGCCCTTATTTTCCAAAATGTGCAACAGGATTTCTAGGCCAAACTTTTGCATGTAGGATGTATTCCCCGCGCAGACCTTACTTACTATAGAGTCTGGTTGCTTGCCACGTATCTTTCTTTCACCCACACGTTCAGTTTGGACACAAATACTCACAACAGAGTATAATATTAAGGCAAAGAAACATACAAATTGATATAAATTCCAATGCACCGATAGAAATCATTCTGAACTTTACAACTGTTGCCTTGTACATACCTTTGGTGGTGCATAAAATTCCAATGTTAATCCTTCAGGTCTGCTAACAAGAAGTAGTCGTGACTTTTCCCACTGACTCCGACCTTGCTGATCCTCACCGGTCAAATTATTTACAATTCCTTCTTTGACTACAATATCATTATCCTTGTGATGATACTTATCGATTTCGCTTACACTGTGTTTACGGAATCTATTCCTGATGTTATGTCCAAATTTTCTAAATGACATCTTTCGAGTTGCCGATTTCTTCATGCGTGCTACATTAGATAGGTCATCTTGGGAGTGTGAGGAGGGGTTTGTTGAGGTTACCAAGTTCCCATTACCATTTTGATGGTTTAAAAGAGACAATGAATCCGGCGACAATGATGCCGACGGTGTTAAAGACCGGATACTACCTTCTCGTGACCGCTGAATGTCCTGCACTTGCCGATGCAGATGTGGACTCTGACGATTTTCGATAACAACATTACCCAGAGTTTTGTTTATTTCATGTTCAAAATGTTCTAAAAAGTGTTTAATGTATCTATTTGCATACTGTTTTGCCTTATTTTTTGTTCTGAGTTCTGGTTGATCGATAGCATAATCGCTAAAACAGTTGGCAAAAATAACTGCTGATTTGTGGGCCTCAGTTTCACAAAATGCAGGCCACTGTGGCCAGGAAGAAACAGAATCAGTTGAATCCATATCGCTGACGACGGTCGCTGACCCGCCAACCTCCAGCAAATGTCCATTCGCCATATCCATTCTGCGCTCTCGAACCTCACACAGCTACCTATCTCTAGCTAGCCTGACATTTGAGAAGGCTAGCCTAGGCTACTCGGATGACTCCTCCTCCCACTCTTACTTCTCAGCAGTCAGCCAGAGTAGCTGAGAAGGTAAGCCTAGCTCTGTAGTTTAGCGTTGAAATGATGCACAATCTTTTACATTTTTATAATCAAAGGATTCTTATCATTCTTACCCAATCTGAAAAAGCACAACTATAAACGTAACACGGCTTCAAACAATATGAAGTACTTCCTGCTTATAAAAAATCGTATTTTTTGATTGATCAAACGCGAGACAAATTCTTCAAACACAAACACACACGGAACGACTGGGAGTGCGCATAAATCTTGCAATATTCAATCCTACTGCGCAGGTGATTATGGTAAACAATCGTCCCGAGAGAGTAGAAAAGGCAGTACATGCAGCAGCATGTGGAAGTGTGAAAATAAAATTAACTAGGGCCTAGGCCTAGATTGACTGATACCAGTACAATACATTCAAAGTGTATAATTGTGTTAAAACAGTATTTGCATTTAAAAATATAAATAATACCATACAGGTGCACAGTCGCCTTTTTTTACTATTTGCTGTGTTCAATTAAAATCGAATAATATATAGGATTACATGTAGGCCATACGCATATATATAATATTCTTCATACAAGCTTCTTTGTAGGCCTATATACATATATATATACATATATATATATATATATATATACATACAT